GATTTCCTTTCTAAGACAAAACTTTCAATCTCGTCCAGGAGAGCAAAAGCTAGCCGATGTGTGCCAAAAGCCATGTTTGAGCGGTTTACCGAGAAAGCAATTAAGGTCATAATGCTGTCTCAAGAGGAAGCTCGGAGACTTGGCCATAACTTTGTTGGGACTGAGCAAATACTGTTGGGTCTAATCGGGGAAGGKACTGGGATYGCTGCAAAGGTTCTTAAATCCATGGGGATCAATCTTAAAGATTCTCGTGTSGAGGTGGAAAAGATCATTGGAAGAGGCAGTGGWTTTGTGGCAGTGGAGATCCCATTTACTCCTCGTGCAAAGCGAGTCTTGGAGTTGTCACTAGAGGAAGCTCGACAAMTCGGTAAGGATCTCTTTCTGTTTATTRGTATTTAGGSKTGGAGGTTSTTATATGTTGTGTTCTTACATAAGCTTTCGTGACTGATGAAATTTACTTGTTTCTTATCAATTTGGCATCTTTTTGTTATTTTGAATTCTAGGCCATAACTACATTGGGTCAGAGCATCTTCTGCTTGGTCTTCTTCGKGAAGGGGAAGGTGTTGCAGCTCGTGTCCTGGAGAATTTGGGTGCAGATCCTACAAACATCCGGACTCAGGTAAATGCATTAATTCTGAATTATCACATATCACAATCATGTTATGTCTTAGGAAAATATTTCTTAATTACATTTGGATTCTAATTTTTCAGGTTATACGTATGGTTGGGGAAAACAATGAAGTGACAGCAAACGTTGGTGGAGGATCCGGCGGAAACAGCAAAATGCCAACACTGGAAGAGTATGGGACTAACCTAACTAAACTAGCAGAGGAGGTAATAAAAATGGCTTACTCATCTTGAAAAAAACTCTTGAGAAAGTGTCATGTTAATACATGACTGAAGGCTTTTGCTGAAATTTGGCTTTTTACTTTTTGTTGCAGGGTAAACTGGATCCGGTTGTTGGAAGGCAACCACAGATCGAACGAGTGGTCCAGATCTTGGCTCGAAGAACCAAGAACAACCCTTGTCTTATTGGAGAACCTGGAGTTGGTAAGACAGCAATAGCTGAAGGACTCGCACAGAGAATTGCCAGTGGTGATGTTCCCGAAACAATTGAGGGAAAGACGGTAAAATTCTCMCATTGGATCATTTGCGCATATATGTGTTTTAAAGTATTTACCCTTACATTTTTTTCCGTCAGGTTATAACCCTTGATAGGGTCTTCTAGTGGCTGGAACGAAATATCTTGGAGAATTCGAGGAAAGATTGAAGAAGCTTATGGAGGAAATCAGGCAAAGTGATGACATAATTCTGTTTATTGATGAAGTGCACACGCTTATCGGTGCAGGTGCCGCCGAAGGAGCGATCGATGCTGCTAACATCTTAAAGCCAGCCCTTGCAAGAGGTGAATTGCAGGTAATTTTCTCATTCTTTGTATTGGTTTAGTGATGTCAAAATGTTAATTAATAGAATGGAAACTCAAGTTCTTACGAGATGTTCTTTTTTCTGTTTTGATGGTTGTAGTGTATTGGTGCAACAACAATTGATGAGTACAGGAAGCACATTAAGTAAGAGACTCGACTC